TTACTGGTCTCAAGACTCTTTCATTCATTTTTAAAAGTTTTTAGTAGAGACGGGGTCTCGCCATGTTGGCCAGGCTGGTGTCGAACTCCTGACCTCAGGTGATCCACCCGCCTCGGCCTCCCAAAGTGCTGAGATCACAGGCGTGAGCCACCACGCCCACCATGCCCAGCCCTGAATATTCACATTTTTTGCTGCAAAAATATTACCACATCTGATGGGAGAGAAGGGGGCGCCTGCGTCAGGCCTCTGAGAGTGTTACATAATGTATGGTATTCGCTCAAAATTGCCTTTCTAAAATTGGAACAATTCTGAGTTCTGCAACTCATCTGTCCCCAAGGACTTCTGCTAAGGGCTTGTGGACCTGTAATTTGGCCCGCTGCCAAACCTAGATTCACCTTAATTATTTGCTCAACATTTATTTAATGGCTCAGGGAAAAAAATAACTCTCTGTTACAATTTTTTAAAAGTAGAGAATGACGTTCATTTAGTAAGTTCCCATTGTCAATGACATGCTATTTTTAGCATTGTGTGGTTATGCGAATGTGTGTGTTTGTGATGGCTTGGATGAGTGTGTCTGTGTGTGAGGGCGTGTTTTTGTGTGACAGTCTGAGTGTGCATGTGTGAGTCTGTGTGAGTGTGTGAATGTGTGTGTTTGATTGTTTCAGTGTGTGTGTAATTGGGTGTATAAAAGTGTGTTTGTAATCCCAGCACTTTGGGAGGCCGAGACGTGTGGATCACGAGGTCAGGAGATCGAGACCATCCTGGCTAACACAGTGAAACCCCGTCTCTACTAAAAAATACAAAAAACTAGCCAGGCAAGGTGGCGGGCACCTGTAGTCCTAGCTACTTGGGAGGCTGAGGCAGGAGAATGGCGTAAACCTGGGAGGCGGAGCTTGCAGTGAGCTGAGATCCAGCCACTGCACTCCAGCCTGGGCGACAGAGCGAGACTCCGTCTCAAAAAAATAAATAAATAAGTAAATAAAAAAGTGTGTTTGCTCCTCTAATCGCAGCACTTTGGGAAGCCGAGGTGAGAGGATTGCTTCAGCTCGAGTTCAAGACCAGTCTGGGCAACACAGCAAGACCCCATTTCTACAAAACATTAAAAGATTAGCGGGGTGCGGTGGCGTGCACCTGTGGTCCCAGCTACTCTCCGACGCTGAAGCAGGAGAATCTCTTGAGCCTAGGAGGTCAAGACTGCAGTGAACTATAATAGCACCGCTGCACTCCAGCCTGCGCGGCGACAGAGCAAGATACTGTGTCAAAAAAAAAAAAAGTATCATGCATGTTTAGTCTAGTTGAGTCTGTGTGTGATTGTACGTTGAGTGTGACTATGGGTCTGTGTGTGTGTGTGCGTGTGTGAGAACGTGCATGAGAAGAGGCATGGTGCAGGGTTTAAAGTTTATATATTGAGAGAAAGTTCTCATTTCAGGCGACATCTGTGCCCTCCGCAATTAGAATTTCAGCGGACTCCACAAAATCAGCAAATTATTGTGCTGTCAAGCAATACCTTTTATGTCCACTAGAGGCCACCTGTCTGCTTTGAGCAGAGGAAACTAATCTGTATTTTTGCATTTAGTTGCTGGGAGTTTGCAGACACTTGCAGAGATGTGGCAGGTAGAAGTGTGGGGATGAGAGGTGGAGAAGTGTGTGTGTGTGTGTGTGTGTGTGTGTGTGTGTGTGTGTGTAGTTTAGTCATTGCCTTACTCACCTCAGCTGTACATAGAGCAGCCATCCTCAAACTTACTGGTCTCAAGACTCTTTCATTCATTTTTAAAACAGGGTCTTGCCCTATTGCCCAGGCTGGAGTGCACTGGCCTGATCATGGTTCACTGCAGCCTTGAACTCCTGGGCTCAAGTGATCCTCCCATTTCAGCCTCCCAAGTAGCTGGGACCACAGGCATGCACCACTATGTCTGGCTAATTTTTAAAATATTTAGTAAAGATGGGGGTCTTGCTGTGTTGCCCGGGCCGGTCTTGAACTCTTAGACTGAAGCCATCCACCTGTCCCAAAGTGCTGGGATTGCAGGTGTGAGCCACCACACCTAGGTGAGATGAATACTATTATAAAAGAGCAAGTTCAGCCCCCTTTTGCCTCTTTGCCCTTCTACTCTCTTGAATTGCTTGAACCCAGGAGGTGGAGGTTGCCGTTAGCGGAGATCGCGCCACTGCACTCCAGCCTGAGCAATAGTCTCAAAAACCAAAAACAACAACAACAAAAAGGCACTAATTCCAAAAGGCCCCGACTTCCAAGTATCGTGGCGAACCCCGTCTCTACTAAAAATACAAAAATTAGCTGAGCATGGTGGCGGGCACCTGTAATCCCGCTACTCAGGAGGCTGAGGGAAGGGAATCGCTTGAACCTGGGAGGCAGATGTTGCAGTGAGCCAAGATCATGCCATTGCACTCCAGCCTGGGTAACAAAAGCAAAACTCCATCTCAAAAA